TGAAACCAGGAGTGATGTGCCTGGATGGCAGATGCAAGGGATGTTTTGACGGGGGTGGTCAAGAGGTGATTTCCTAGAGAGGAGACAGTTGAAGCTGAACCTTAAATTGGCCATGTGGAAAAGGGAGAAAGATCACTCTGATCCCAGCATAGATGTGAGCGAAGACTTGGAGGTGAGGGGCAAGGAGAGGACAGAGCTCTGGTTTTATCACAGGGATGAGGCAGGAGAGGACAGTCTTGGAGGCCACTGGGTCCCAGGTGGAGACGTTGAGAAGATGGCTGGAAACGGGAAAGGGTCTGCCAGACAGACGGAAGACAAAGGCCGCTTGGTCAAAGGCAAAGAAAACCCTGAATTTTGGATGAGAAGGCCCCTGAGTCCCACCACAGGGGTCTATTGAGGTGAAGTAAGTTTCTCTCAGAGGCAAATAGATCTCCTAGGCGATAAAATCATCAGGTATCTACCCCCCCCCCCCAAATCCAACCTTCTTTAGCCTCTGCCTGGGGCGTGGGCAGTCAGGTTGTCCTAAATCACAAGACACTCAAAATATAGTTGGGTGTACAAACGACAATTGATTCTAGGCTTCCTGGTTTAAATTTTTAATTTCCAGCCCTTGGAGAAGAAAGAGGTCCTAAAGCAAGATTCCCACCCAGGATTGCTCAAGCTTTTTCATGCCAACCCCAAAGGGTTGTTACGAGGAGTAAAGGAGACTGCCTATGTAAACACATTTGTGAGTGATGAGATTCAGAATAAGCATAAAGCATCTAGCTGACTGGCGAAAAGCAATACTTTACTAGCTAGACAAATGGAAACAGGCCAAGAAACTTTGGGTCTTATCACAAAGACACCTTGGGAAGATACGTCAGGAGCAGGCCATGAAAATCTCTCAGTCCTCCTGCAGCTGTGCCTTTCTGGAATCCCAAAGTTCAGGGCGGAGGTACAGCCGCCCAGGAATTTTTTCTCCATAAATTTGAGCTCCCCAAATCCCTATGAAGCCCAGGAATGATGGGACCGCAGGGCACGTGGGTCCATTGGCACCAAGAGCCCCTGCATAAATCAAGGTCTCGCTGCCGTTGGCCTCAGACTGCTCTGTCCAAGGCGACCTGAACAAAGTCAAAGGGCAGTCCTTAACCCAGGAGTAGCATGTGCGTTTGCGATGAGAGAACCTAAAATGCCTGCAGGGTCAGTTCTCTAGAAACATATCCCTAGGCGGGAGAGGCCACTCTTCCGTCATCTCGGAAAGTAAGGCAGCTAGGAGGACTTCAAGGGAAAATGACAGTCTTTCCACGATTCCATCCAATTAGGGCAGCCCCTTGGGGCAGACATGGAGGAGCTCTTTTTCAATGCTGGGTCAGCCCCGGTGAAAAGTCAAAGTGACCTCAGCCCTGTCACCAGTTGCCCCTAGGCCAGCCCCTCAAAGCAGCCCCCCCGAGGCAGCCATGTGACTCACAGAAAATCAGCTTGTCCAACACACTGATGATACAGGCAAGGGAGGCCAGAGATGAGGGCCTCTCCCACGGGAAGACCAGTCCATGGTCACTCATCCTCCAGGGGAAGAGTCAAGGTTAGACTAGGGGTCCTGGTTATTCCTGGTGCCCTCACTACACACCTCCTCTAATGAGGCCACCTGGTAGTTCTAGCCTGAGCTGCTCTGCTAAGTCGCTTCAGTTGTATCCAACTTTTTGCAACCCTATGAACCACAGCCCGCCAGCCTCCTCTGTTCTTGGGATTCTCCAGGCAACAATAGTGGAATGGATTGCCCTGCCCTCCTCCAGGGGATCTTCCTGACCCAGGGATTGAACTCACGTCTCTTAATCTCCTGTATTGGCAGGCAAATTCTTTACCACTAGTACCACCTGGGAAGCCCAGGACTCCACAAACTAAGCCTCATCTGCCAGTTCAATTGACCATCTTAATTTCTCCAGTAGCATTTAAGTTATGTGAACGTGGAAGCCAAAGACTATAAAATGGTGTCTTTCACAGGGTAGGGGAAAGAGGTACAAACTACTAAGTAAAATAAATAAGATACAAGGATATGTAGTACAATAGAGGGAATATACCCACTATTTTATAATAACTATAAATGAAACATAACCTTTAGATTTCGTGAATGACTATGTCATACACCCAAAACTTATATAATAAACTATAACTTCAATTTTTTTTTTCTTTTGGCAGCACCATGCAGCTTGCAGGATCTCAGTTCCCTGACCAGGGGCTGAACTCCAGCCTCTGCGGTAAAAGTGCCAAATCCTAACCACTAGGCTCCCAGGAAACTCCCTCAGCGTTTTAAAAAGTGAAATGTGAAAGTTGCTCAGTCGTGTCCGTCTCTTTGCGACCCCATGGACTCTACAGTCCGTGAAATTAGCCAGGCCAGAATACTGGAGTGGGTGGCCTTTCCCTTCTCCAAGGGATCGAACCCAGGTCTCCTGCATTGCAGGCAGATTCTTTACCAGTTGAGCCACAAGGGAAGCCCATATTTTAAAAAGGTGGCTTTCATGCGTCAAAAAACAAGTAGGAAGAGAAGGAAGAACACTATTCTGGGAAACACAGGTGCCTGTAAAGTTAGCTAACCACATAGACTGCAGAGGTGACTGACGAGACCAAGTGACTTGGAGGACATGGGCCGCACCTGCCCAAGGTAATCAAGCCCCCAGAGTCGGTGCCAACCAGGGTTCTCAGCCTCCGTAATCAACAGAAGTTGACAAGACGCCAGACAAGAAATTCAGGCAAGGCTTTACTGGGGATCCTGTGGCAGCAGGCGGAGTGAGAACAAGTGACTGTTCCCTTGCTCACTCCTGGTGGAGGGGAGGGTTAGGAGGGTGGGGGTCACTGAGCTGGCTCCTTACCTGTGGAGAGGGTAGGGGTGTGACCAGGGGTCAGCCTGGAGGGGTGGCTTAGGTGGTTTGCCCACCCTTTTGGCAGTGTTATGTGCAGGGGGCATGCATGGAACCCTGCTTTTGCTCCCAATACCCTGGCTTTGCCCTTCAGGAGTGGCAATTGGGTTTTTGGTCTTTTTGTATCATGCTGTTCATAATTTGCCCCAACTGCAGCATGCATGCAGTTATTTTTAGTCCCTGATAGTTTCTTTGGGGCTTCCCTGGCGGCTCAGTTGGCAAACACCTGCCTGCAACACAGGAGACCAGTTCCAGTTCGATCGCTGAGTCAGGAAGATCCCCTGGAGGAGGAAACGGCAACCCTCTCCAGTATTCTTGCCTGGAGAATTCTTTGTATTCTGTTGTTCCAGGAGCTATTTGTCTCCATGCAAACACTGCAGCAAAAGGTCCCAGGTCCCAGGTCTGAGATGGGACAGGGGACTGGAAAAGCAGCTGAGGCGACTGAAATGGAACTCAAAACACACTCGCACAGCCTAGCGTATAGCAAAGGGAACTCTACTCAGTACTCTGGTGACCCAAACAGAAAGGAAATCTGCAGAGTGAGCACATGTACACGTGCAGCTGATTCACTCTGCTGCACATCAGACAGGAACAGAGCACCCTGAAGCGCCAGCAAACACAAACACACAGCTCGCCCATGAGACTGGTGTGCAGCTGATTCACTCTGCTGCGCAGCAGACAGGAACAGAACACCATGAAGCGCCAGTGAACACAAACACACAGCTTGCCCATGAGACTGGTGTGGGGACTAGGAGGATGGGTCACAGCATGTGGCACATAGCAGGTGCTCAAAACATGGGTGCTGACACTAGATGACTAAGCCATGGACGGCCAGCTTCCCTCTTGGCCAGCTTCCCTCTTGGCCAGCTTCCCTCTTAGCCCGCTTTCCAGAGCAGAGCTGACTGTACTGCAATTGTCCAGTTACTTGTCGATTTGAGAGTAAATTCAGTGAGGGCGCAACCTCACCTGGCTGCCCACTCGTAGCATCCTAGCGCCCGGCACATAGGTTCTCCATACATATTTTTGAACAAACGACAAAAAAATGAATAATGAGTGAATAAATTACACCTTTGCCCGCCGTCTGTTAAGTCCCCTTGGTTCATTCATCAGCTATCCTGATTTGCCTGGGACTGACCACCTGGAGGAGGAAATGGCACCCACTCCAGTATTCTTGACTGGAGAATCCCATGGACAGAGAAGACTAGTGGGCTACAGTCCACAGGGTCGCAGAGTCAGACACGACTGAGCAACTTAGCAGGCACGAGGAGTTTATCCGAACCCAGGAGTGCTGAAACCTGTAAAGTCTTAGGCAAACTGCACTGTGTTTCACAGAAATTACTCAGAGACTGAGTGAGTGATATGAGTGATAAATTTTACAGAAGAAAGAACTGCAGTGATGGAGAAGACTCTTGAGAGTCCCTTGGACTGCAAGGAGATCCAATCAGTCCATCCTAAAGGAAATCTGTCCTGAATATTCATTGGAAGGACTGATGCTGAAGCTGAAACTCCAATACTTTGGCCACCTGATGCGAAGAACTGACATTTGAAAAGACCCTGATGCTGGGAAAGATTGAAGGCGGGAGGAGAAGGGGACGACAGAGGATGGGATGGTTGGATGGCATCACCGACTCGATGGACATGAGTTTGAGTAAACTCCGGGAGTTGGTGATGGACAGGGAGGCCTGGCGTGCTGCAGTCCATTGGGTTGCAAAGAGTCGGTACGACAGAGTGACTGAACTGAACTGAACAGAAAGAAAGGGTTAAAACCGGGACAGGACTTGGATCTGACGGCCCCGCCCCCTCGCGCATTTAACCCCGTCCCTTCCCCTGACCCACCCCCAGGCCCCGCCCCCTTCCTCTGAGAAGGTCACCTTCCACCCTGGGAAGCCCAGTGGGCCTGCGCCGGCCCCCGCACCTGCGCACGCTCGCGTTCGTTCCCCAGCCTTCCCTCTGCCCCATCGGGGACCGGAAGCCCCGCCCACTCGGCGGCGCCTGCGCAGCTAGCGGGGACTCGGTGGGCCCTGGCGTGGCGCCGCGGTGCTCGGCGGGACGCCGGCGGAGCGCGACCTCGGGCTCGAGGGGTGGGGCTCGACGTCAGGAGCCAAGATGGCGGCGGTGGTCGCTCTCTCCTTGAGGCGCCGGTTCCCGGCAGCAGCCTTCGGCGTGGCCCGCCTGCAGGTGAGCCGCGGCGCTGGGCGGGGGACGAGGGCTGGCGTGAAGGTCGCGGAGACGGCCTGCACATGAGGGGGCGGCGGCGGAGGTTGAGGGGGCCCCGGGGCGGGCCCCGGGGAGGAGCGCGACCCGCTCACGCCACCCGGAGTCTTGATGACGGTTTCTTTCTGCACCTTTCTGCCGCCTGCGAGGTGGTCAGAGCGAAGGGGGATTTTTAGACATAGTGGGGGGAAAGGGCTAGGAAGGACGCTTGGATTGTCCAGGGTCACATGGCGAGCGGGTGACGACTGACTGGTGGAAGCAGAGCGCGAATCCAAGCGTTCGGACGCCAGGTCCTTGTTCTGCCCGCAAGCCGTCACCCTGGGAAAGACAGATCCGCCGGGGCGTGAAGGGCAGGGCCTGGGAGGCAGCCCTGCAGGGCGCATGGTTGGGAACTTGGGCAAGAGGGAAGGCACAGAAGGGAGAAGCGGGGGGACCCACTTAGCCCCCGGGGACCCGAGCGCCCCAAAAAACACTGTGGTCTCCCCAGTGTCGTGTACCGACCTCACAGTTTGGACTTGGATCGGATCCAGAGGTTGGCGCTGCTCTTATTTATATCGTTCAGGGTGCGTTGGTAGTTTTTCGCCACATCCCTTGTATTGTCAGGAAAATGGGAACATGGAGAAGGGGAAGGGAAACTGCCATTGCAGTCTGTGTATATCAAAGACGAAGGTTTTACAAATCCCTTTCAAATCTTTTTCCCCTGGAAAAAAATCCTGTGAGGTGGGTGAGCAGGAATTCTAACCTCCTTTTAGAGATTTGAAAACTGCTGCTGCTGCTAAGTTGCTTCAGTCGTGTCCGACTCTTTGGGACCCCATGGACTGCAGCCTACCAGGTTTCTCCGCTCATGGGATTTTCCAGGCAAGAATACTGGAGTGGGTTGCCATTTCCTTCTCCCTTTGAAAACTGAGGCCCCCAGAAGATTATTTTTCACTTGCTCGAAATATCACAGCCAAGAACCAGTTGATCTAGGACCTAAACTCCCTGTTTTGAACATAATGTGTGAAAAACAGCCAAGAACCAGTTGATCTAGGACCTAAACTCCCTATTTTGAACATAATGTGTGAAAAACTGGTAGCACAGATCAAGACTCATGATAGGTGTACAAAGTATATTCATCTCTCTCCTCTTCTTGCAGTCCTGTGAAAATACATCTAGTATTAAGCAATTTCTCTGGTTTTACAACACAGTGCCTACGGCCCATCTTCTAATGCTAATTCTTTCCAATATGCTGTCCGTCAACCTGGACAGGTCACTTTATAGTCATTCTGAAAAACGGGGATGGAGTGAGGCCTGCCTACCAGAGGCCCCGGCTGGCGCCCCCTGAGCATTAAACTGGTGGTTGGTAATGACCTTGTTTACCAGTCCCTTTTACAGTTGCTGAGCGAGCAATCAGATTGTGAGAGCCTCACCAGTGAGAGTGAGTTCTAAAGCTCAGGCCCCTCTTCCAAGAATGGATTCTGCAGAAGGCTGGTTTCATAGGTCAGTGTTGTAATTCCTGGGGAGGCCATCCTAGGGCCCTGAGGGCAGAGAAAACAGACGATTCCACCCCCACTCTCACTATCTTCTAGGAATATGCATTCATACCTCAGAAGCCACCTGAAAAGTAATGAGCGTGGTGTATTACCTCTGGGTGTGTTTAGATTCCTAGGAGTCTATAATATAGTAGGATTTCTCTTCTGAACTCCTTTTATGCTTTAGTTTGCACCACTGAACCACAGTTCTGCCTCTAAGTATTTAACTGTAATGTGTTAATTGTTGCTTGTGATGTTGCTTCATTTTCTTGTCTAGAGTGTGTATTCCTTGAGGGCAGTTACCACCTGCTTTCATTTGTGTGTATCTTTGGTCCTAGCACTGGCAGGATTAGGATATCTGTCTGCCAATCAGAGCAATACAGGAACTGATATGGTTGCCACTATTGAAAAGCAGAAATTATTTTCTGAACAATTCTAGGAGCTTGGCCCTCCACTTAATCATCTGAGGTAGATGTTTATACTCCCCGCCTTGTTACAAGGAGCTAAAATCAGAAAGGTTTTGTAATTTGCCAAAGAACATTCAACCCCCAAGTGGTAGAGCTTTGATTTGCACCAGTGCTACTCACACTTAAGAAACAAGCCTGACCTTGTGTTCCCCGCAGGTCTGTGCAGACCTCCTGCCCTCCTCCTCTCCATCTCTCACCTTCTGTCACCCCTCCAGACCTGCCCCTTAAGGGAGCTTTCCTCGAGAACAGACGGCTGCCTCCAGCGTGTGGAGAAGCCACCCTTCTTATCCTCAGTTCCGTTTCCGTCCAGTTGCTGAGGATCTCGCTTCTCCCCTTAAATTTAAACTGCGTTTCATCTTATCTAAGGTGTCCTACAAAGGTGCGCTCAGCTTTGAACATGCTTTAGTTTTGTAGATTGAGGTAGAAATGCTTTTGAAGGACCCGCCTCGCTTTTGGGTTTGGAGTATGAATTGCTAGGTAGGCTACCAAAAAAACGACCTCAAATTTTTGCCCACCTCTTCACATCTGCCCATATATTGCCCTTTCTGCCTGTTACTGTGGGAAAATTGGCAACACTCCTCTGGCTACCCTTCACTCATGCTCTCGGCCCATATCTTATTCACAGAGATTTCCAGAAGAGGAGAATTCCAGAAATTCTCCTCTCGCCCCCGCATGATCAGGTTTTCGTTCTTTATCAAATCAGCAGCAGCACACAAACATGGTATAATTTTTCTCATCTCAGAGAAAGCCATATCCAGCCACCACCCCAGTTCTCCACTCGTCTTTATAGAAAAATTTCTCGAGAGGTGTCTAAACTCACCAACCACAGAACACCTCTCCGCACCTTCTCAGGAACATGTCCTGGTCAGACTTCTCGCCCTGGGCGCGCCGCGGAGGGTAACTTGGGTCAGGGCCGTCGGCGCCTTTGGCCTTGTGAACTCCAGTGTCAGTTCTCAGGGAGCAAAGCTCCCTGAAGCATGCTGTTAACTCCCTCCTCAAAACATGTTTTTGGCGTGCCTGCCAGGCTCCAGGTGTTCCTCCTCACGTGTTGGCAGTCCTTTCTCTCTCCCTTGGCTGATTTCTTCTCATTGCCCCAAACTCTAAACACTGGAGTCTGTCCTTAGGCCTTGTCTTCATAGATACTCCTTTGGGCTTTAGATGCCTTCTAAATTTATGTCTCCAGCTGAGACGTCACCCCAAATCTTCAGACTCAGATGGCCACCCAACTATATTCTCAGAATTTCCACATGGGCATTTAATAAACTTTGTTGGCGTGAAACTAAAATCCTGACACTCCCTCTGACACACACACACCAGCCTTCTCCTCCCGTCTCAGTTGATGGTAGCTCCATCCTTCACATTGCTTCAGTTCAGTTGCTCAGTCATGTCTGACTCTTTGCGACCCCATGGACTGCAGCATGCCAGGTCTCCCTGTCCATCACCAACTCCCAGAGTTACTCAGACGCATCTCCATTGAGTCAGTGATGCCATCCAACCATCTCATCCTCTGTCGTCCCCTTCTCCTCCTGCCTTCAATCTTTCCCAGCATCAGGGTCTTTTCAGATGAGTCAGTTCTTCGCATCAGGTGGCCAAAGTATTGGAGTTTCAGCTTCAGCATCAGTCCTTCCAATAACCATTCAGGACTGATTTCCTTTAGGGTGGACTGGTTGAATCTCCTTGCAGTCCAAGGGACTGTTAAGAGTCTTCTTCAACACCACAGATCAAAAGCATCAATTCTTCGGCGCTCAGCTTTCTTTATAGTCCAGCTCTCACATCCATACATGACTACTGGAAAAACCATAGCTTTGAATAGACAGACCTTTGTTGGCAAAATAATGTCTCTGCTTTTTAATATGCTGTCTAGATAGGACTTCCCTGTTGGCTCAGCCAGTGAAGCATCTGCCTGCAATGCAGGAGACCCGGGTTCGATCCCTGGGTTGGGAAGATCCCCTGGAGAAGGAAATGGCAACCCACTCCAATACTTTTGCCTGGAAAATCCCATGAGCGGAGAAACCTGGTAGGCTGCAGTCCATGGGGTCCCAAAGAGTCGGACACAACTGAGCGACTTCACTTTCACTTTTTCACTTTCAGGTTGGTCATAACTATTCTTCCAAGGAACAAGCGTCTTTTAATTTCATGGCTGCAGTCACCATCTGCAGTGATTTTGGAGCCCAAAAAAATAAAGTCTGTCACTGTTTCCACTATTTCCCCATCTGTTTGCCATGAAGTGATGGGACCAGATGCCATGATCTTAGTTTTCTAAATGTTGAGTTTTAAGCCAACTTTTTCACTCTGTTTCACTTTTTATCAAGAGGCTCTTTAGTTCTTCTTCACTTTCTGCCATAAGGGTGGTGTCATCTGCATATCTGAGGTTATTCATATTTCTCCTGGCATTCTTGATTCCAGCTTGTGCTTCATCCAGTCCAGCATTTCTCATGATGTACTCTGCATATAAGTTAAATGAGCAGGGTGACAATATACAGCCTTGACGTACTCCTTTCCCGATTTGGAACCGGTCTATTGTTCCATGTCCAGTTCTCACTTTTGCTTCTTGACCTCCAGATTTCTCAGGAGGCAGGTCAGGTGGTCTGGTATTCATTCCCATCTCTTTCAGAATTTTCCACAGTTTGTTGTGATCCACACAGTCAGAGGCTTTGGCATAGTCAGTACAGCAGAAGTAGATGTTTTTCTGTAACTCTCTTGCTTTTTCAATGATCCAGCGGATGTTGGGAATTTGATCTCTGGTTCCTCTGCCTTTTCTAAATCCAGCTTGAACATCTGGAAATTCATGATCCTCGCTCGTATTGTTGAAGCCTGGCTTGGAGAATTTTGAGCATTACTTTGCTAGTGTGTGAGATGAGTGCAGTTGTGCGGTAGTTTGAACATTCTTTGGCCTGGCCTTTCTTTGGGATTGGAATGAAAACTGACCTTTTCCAGTCCTGTGTCCACTGTTGAGTTTTCCAGATTTGCTGGCATATTGAGTGCA